AATTAGGCTACAATAGGAACAGAGCGGAAACCCCACTGCATTCTGAGGAATTTGCAGCTGTCTTCAGAAAGCCCTGCCTAGCAGCCACTATGAAGAAGAGTTTGGATCCATCTCAAAGCTCTTAAGTGAAGAAAGCGGCTTATTTATCAGGGTGCTTTCCGTACCAGTTCTTCCCAGAGTTGGAGCCTGTGAAACTGCCAACCCTCCAAGCCTCCCTTTTTGTGCACTGAATCTCAACATCTATCTGGCTAAAAAAAATATACTCTGACTTAGCATTTTTGGAAAAGAGAGTGACCGAACCATTTTTGGCTGTACTATGCATAGTAGCTATGTCTGACCTGCAGCCCGAGCACAGCATGCACCCCAAAGTAGACATGAATGTGGCCCAGCAGAAAATCATAAACTTTCTTAAAACATTATGAGATTATTTTTAGTAACTAGATCATGTAGTGTTTTGTTAAAACAAAACAAAAAACCATGTTGTGTCACAATGTCAAAAAGTTGGACATGCCTGTGAATCTAAAGCCTACAGTTTTTTCCTTATTTTTGACCTAGTGTAGAAAATAGAATCCAAAGAAAGAGGGCTGAACAATGTACACATGTTCCCATCTTCCAGGAAGACATACCACAGCCACCTACGCAATTTCCCAGCCTTGAGTAATTTTACCTTGGCAGTCTTTACTACAAGGAGCTTGTAGAGTTACACTGGTTATATACCACTGCCTACCTAAGGACATCACAGGTTAGAGGGCAGAGTTGCAGGGGACCTAAAAGATCATTTAGCACAACCACTGACTGTTTCATATACCAAACAAAAAGGGGCTTACTCAAGACCAGGTAGTTACTGGGAAAATCAAGGGTTAATGTAGGTACCCTGTTCTTGCATCAGTGCCAACACGTGGTAATCTTATATCTAATTAGAACAAAGGTCAATAACTTATTTGCTCTAGTTCTTTGGGGAAGCATATTTAGTGTTATACAGAATAAAACTGTTCCTCTGATGGTATTTTTTGAGCTTTCTTTCCTCTAATATTACTTTGTGGCAAACCTTTTTTATTAACATAAATGCATAGCATAATACTGAGTTTGCTTTGTCAAGCTCCATATGAAGTCGCAGGGTTCTCACATACTTTCCCAGGGGACTGAGCACCTTGAAATGAGAATGAATAATTTATAGTTCAATGCAGAAAACTGCAAACTGACATAATGATGACCACCAAAGAGAAGATTTTAGAGAGAGAGTATTCTAACCTGACATAGAAGGGCAAGAAAGGTATCCTAAGAAAGGAAAAAGTTAAAGCTTGGAGTGAGTGGCCTCTAGAACAAGGATGAGTTGAGTAGACAGGGATGGGGCATCCCAGCTCAGGTAAGAAGGACCCAGCTACAGTGATGATTTAAAAAAAAATGTAGACTGGAAATGCCAAGTGGTCGGTCTTGGTTGGTAGCTGGGTCTGCTGACAAGGTGGTGACATGATCCATGAATGAAAATATCAGTGCCCCCTAAATAAATACGATATAGTCCCAAGACAGTGACTTCATATCACAAATTCCTCATCTGCATCTCACCATCAACATGTGAATTTGAAAGGCCATACACAATATAGCCAAGGGAGGAGCAGTGAAAGGAGCAACAGAATTTACCAAAGAGTGATTGTGAGACTCCAGATGAGACAGCTGCAGCATTCATGAAATGAATAGTTGATTCTGCCAAGGGTGGGATCTTCCATTGTTACTACAAGATCAAATATAAATGTTTAGAGACTGACAACAAAGGCTTGGGCTACTGAGTAACCAATCCTTCACTACTGTACCTACTCCACCATTTGATAAGAGCCAGAGCGATTCAATTGCAATGTTTTCAAACTATCAGTTGGCTTGCGATTTTTATGAGAAAGTAGTGGTTTAATGAGCTAGAGGTTAGGAAACAAGTATTCTTTCGGTCTTCTATATAAAGGGAAATTGGAAAATTCCATGTGTTAAGAGCTGTCTTTGTTTTTTTATGAGACATGTCTTACTTTGTAGTCCTAGGTGGCCTGGAGTATGGATCAGGCTGGCCTCAAACTTAAACTCAGAAAGACTCACCTGTCTCTGACTGTTGAGTGCTGGGATTAAAGACATGTGCCACTACACATAATTCACACATTTAATTTGTACTTGAAGCTAGAAAGAAAATGGACAAAGTATGCAACATGATGAAAACGATGCTATTTATAAGTAGATTCTCTTCAGAGACACAGAAAGTTTTCCTACAATGATCAATTTAAAATGAGCTCCTTGAATCAATCACATATCTCAGGATCAGACTTCGTGCATCATACTTATAGATCCCTTCCTGAAAAGAGGTAGCTTTAGGGGACCCTCTCATTGAGATTTGTAAGTCAGCTGGAGAGTGCCTCTGAAATGGTCAAATCCACAAGATAAAGAAAAACTCTCTCCCCCTCTACTCTCTCTCTCCCCTCTCCCCTTTTACACCTATCTATCTATCTATCTATCTATCTATCTATCTATCTATCTATCTCATTGATCATGTGACCAAAAGCTTAATCTCATTGCAAATGAAGGTAAAGGCACAAAATGGGTAATCATCTAGAAATAAGCTCATGGACTTCAAGCATCTTTCTGAGGTCATAAGTATATAGAATGAGGGAAGGCCCTTGGTCATACCTGGATTGAGCTGATGGCTCTAGTCATCTGTTCCCTTAAAATTTATGCATTATGTGTCTATATGAATCAGACACTGTACTGATCATTCAGGATTACCAAAAGCAACAAGACAAACAAAATACCTGCTCTCATAATGGCATATGGTATTCCAACCCAGTTACCACCATATACCTGCTAGAATTACAGTGGTTTCTCAGTTAAACCTGTGTCCAAAATGCCTCAGTGATTCCACTAGAAGAGTATCCTCAAGCAGTAGAAGCAGAGAAAAAGAAAAAAAAAAAAGATCAAGGAGCAGGGTGGGGGATGGGTTTACATATCTTCAGAAAGAGATGCAGCTGGAACTGAATGCTTTTTCAGGCTTGAAGAAGCATCACAAAATCTTACTTGATGTGCTTTCTATCTTGTGGTTTGTGACTTGGAAGAGTGGTGTGAACAAAGGCTTCCTAAAGAAAATCTTATCAGAGAGTCCATCGACCCAGCCTGGGTTAAGCAAAGGTCAATAGCCCCAGAGAAGAACATCTTGTGAGATGTTGAACTGCCTCCACGCCAGTGTCTTGCTTCTGGACAGCAGGACACCTGCCAAAGGCAAACTTCCCAAAGCACTACTTGGATAGTGGTACTTGGATGGTACAAAGTACTGCTTGGACCCAGATAGAATCTATTGATAGTCATTTGAGACCCTCTAAACTTTGGCCCCCACCTCTCCTACCCAATATACTGTTTCTTACTCAAATGCCACACAATAATCTTCCAAAGAAGGTTTGTATACTACTCATTTTTCTGGAGCCAGTTTAAATGACCCCTTCTTCCAGCAGCTGTGTTTCTACCAGCAAGAACTTCTTTTGAGCTCTACACAGCTTTCTTCTGTGCTTTTACCAAGCTAGAAGTCCCTGCTTGGCTACGTATTTTATCATCCAAGGCAGCATCAACTCTTTGAGGATAAGGATTATTTTATGGTTTATATCTCTTCTCTGGCTCCTCAGTGTTTACACAATGCAATACCAAATTGTTCCTTTCCTTCTTTTCTATCAGGGAATTCACTTCATAGTCTAGTATTCTTTTAACATATTGGTCAACTATAACTTTGATCCAAAGTCATATAAATGAAGCAGGAACAAATCTGATGTGAACTTGAGGCAAGGTGCCTTTAGCAAACCTGTAATGTTTTATGCATGGTCTTTGGAAGACTCCGGAGACAATGGTTTTTTCATGTCCTTCTACTCCTTCCATAGTTTCCCTTCCGCCACCTCCACCCTACCAGCTGTACTTCATCAGCACCCCTCTTATTCAAAACCACATTGTCCTTTTAGATACCCTAGGACCTTTACTTCCATAGTCTTTCTGTACTTGCCCCCTCTCCATAATCTTTCAGGCTCCTATTCCCTGGTTGCAAAGTGTGGTCCTCAGGCAACTTCAGGAACTCTAAGGATGCTGTAATATTTATTCAGAGTGGTGATTCTAAGTCTCGAGCTCAACATATTTACAATTAACACACAGACTGTGATATTTGAGGAAGTTTAAACCACATACCAGTAATCTTTAGCTTAAGTAGAACACCAGGGTTTTATTTGCTGATTCCTACATGTATTTTGCTGCCTTTGCTAAAATTAAGTATGTACTTTGATATCTGACTGACTTGTATTTATAAACAGAAAACATTCAGTGAGCTTAGCATTGCTGTGGACACTACAAATTGGGACTTCATCTGCTATTTGAGAGGACCCTAGCAGACACATAGTTCCATTTACTTAAGAAAAACTGGGGCCAGTGGATGGATATTAACAGACTTGTTCAAAATCATCCAGTTCCATTGTGGAGCTAGGATTCTAGTACTGTTCCTTTTGGTAGAACAATACCATGGTCATGCCATGGTGGTTCCCCTAAAGGAAGCCCAATTAGTTCTAATTTGTCTGCTACTCTCAAACTGAATCCACTAATATGTAACCGCAGAGAAACAGTTTTTCTTCCCAATCGGAAGGCCACCAAGGCCACCATCTTATTTGGATTCCTTATCTTAAAGTGAGCACTGACTTAGCCGGTCACTTATTACTAGCCCAGTCACTGTGGTGTCTATTCGAATCACCACCACCCAAAGCAACTTTCTCAAAGCAAAAAACAACCTAATACATATTTAACTCCACGGTCTCTTTCTGAAATTGGATGCATGGTATAGTGTGTGGGGGGTAAACTCAGATGTCTAATCTTACATTTTGGTACATTGTACATAAATTGGCAAAGACTGTTAAACGACTTAAACAAACAAAAAGAATACAACTTTTCCAAAAACAAATAAATATCTATGTAATTCCCCTTTAGGAATTTAAAATAAGATCACATTTATTCATTCAACAAACATTTATTGAGCACCAACAACTGTAATAGGTGCTAAGAAATAACAACTTGAACAAGATAAACCAGGCTCCCACCCTCACTGGATATGTTTTGCTTTCAAGTTTAAATGATCTTGCTAACTATGTGATATTTCATGTTCTGTAATAGAGTTATATTTTTGGAAAGTCAGAGTCATAGGAAGCCTCTTCTGGAATAGTTTGAAATTTTCTTTAAGGTAAATTTGATAGAAATCTTTAACTTAGAGAAGGAAGATCAGCAATCTCTGGTATGGTTTCAACAAGCAAGTTGATGTTCAAGTTGACTGTCAAGCAGTAAGTTGGTGGCTAGTGGGCAACCAAGAAGGCAGTTTAGACCATTCGGTTGCGCTTGAGCAATGGAGAGTCTGTGGCGCCATCACCAAACTGGGCCGAGGTGCGCTTGCGGACTCCCCCACTGTCTAGGCGGAGAGCCAGTTCTTCTGAGCTCAAGGGGTTCGGATCATCTTCGAGGAAGCTACTTTTCCAACGCCCACTGCTGGCAACACCTCCATCTTGAGCTGAGGAACCCGGAGCGCCTGATCGCATGCTGATGCTTGCCATGGCGCCACTGAGGCCATGGAGAGCAATGGCCTCGTGGAAGGGCTGCAGGTCGACGTCCACAGGTGCGCCAGACTCAGTGGCAGCAGCTTGAGTGGAGGCAGCTGCGGGTGGCCTGGGGGACGTCCAGGAGGTGCGTGGCTGCGGGGGCGTGGGGGGAACTTTGCCACAGAGGAAGCTTATGAGGTCTTCCCGGCGAATGATGCTCCTACCCTTCTTCACCCACTCCAGCACGTCTCTCACACGACGCTGGTAGCCAACCTGGACGCCCAGTTCAAAACTTCTCTGGTAGGCATCCCCGCTCTCTTTGTAGAGGCTGGTCACGGCCATGGCCGCGTTCTGGAAGGGGTCCCACATAGAAAGTCCTGGCTGCTGGCACCCGGAATCTTTATAGAGCTGGGCCACGGCCGTGGCTGAGATCTGGAAGAGGTGCCAGAGCCTCTGGCGCTCGAGCTTGAGCCCCGCCGCATCGGCAGCCGCCTCCTCCTGCAGCTCCGGGGACAGCTGCTCCGCCTCAGCGAGGCACTGGCGCTCCCACTTAGAAAACCAGGGCCCGGCGACCTCGGCCTCACGGTCCTTCGGCTGGTCCTCCATCCCTCTCCTCCTCCTCCTCCAGGCCGCGCGCCCTCCTCCGCCGCGGTCTCGGCCGCCGACTCTGCCCGCTGCAACTCCACCTCCACCTCAGCCTCCGCGTCCGCCTCCACCTCAGCTCACCTCAGGCTCGGGGCCGCCCTCCGTCGTCCGCGGCGGCCGCCACCTTCGCGGGTGCCGCTCGGCGGGCGGCCGCGGGAGCAGAGACTCCAAGTGCTCGGGCGAGCGCCGCCCCGGACCCTGGTCCCCGCCCCGCCCCGCCCCGCCGGCCCGGCCCCCGGCTGCAGCCTCCGCGGCCGGCCCCGAACTCCAGCGCCGCCGGCGCCCCTGCGCTCCCGCTTCCGGGCTCGCGCCGTCTCCGGCCGTCCGCTCGCCCGCTCGCTCGCCGCACGGCGGCCTCCCCGCCTCCCCGGGCCAGGCCCGAGCCGGCCGCTCCGCCCCAGCCCTCGCTAGCGCCGCGCCTGCCGCACTGACGGCTCTGAGGTGGCCCGCTGCAGAGCTCCCTCCACGCCGCACTCGGCTGGCGCGGGACCCCCTTTGCACACGTATTTTATTGTTTTTTTGGGGGGTGGGGGGCTTGTGAGCTCCTTCCAAATGGGCTGGTGAAATTATACAGCCCGTGTTGTCACAGAGGATTACGGGGGCAACTTTATGGTGTCTTTCACATCTGGGGCGCTGATCCTGGGGAGCTGAGAGATACAGTGCCTTCCGTGAACTAGACAGGCGATATAGACTCGTTGGCAATGGCTTCTACACTTAGAAAATATACGTGGCATAATTCAGTCAGTATCTTGTAGAGGGAGAAAAGGTCACCCTAGTGATCTTTTCTCGGCCTCTCAGGCCTCAGTTTCCCCAGGTGCCCAGTGAGGTGGTTGGAACTAGGTCTCTGGGGAACACTTGAAGGTCTCTGAGAAGCACTTGAAGGTCATGATTGAGAAGCCCCCTGCTGTTCCCACACAACACTTCTTTGGAACTAGTTGCATACTTAGATTCTGAAAGGGATGGCCCGACATGGCATTGATTTCCTTAGTCGTCCTATAAAGATTTATATCATTTTAAAACTTGGGGTGGAAATGAGTTCACTTTCAACTACTCATTACACCAACATTAAGAAAAGGAGAAAGAAAAGAACTGAAAGCTCAAACAGAACTTTCTACTGCAGCACAAAATTCAGATACTTTTTGAAAACAAAGTAAAATAAGAATTGCCTAATTTCCAACATCCTAAAATTCCAGCTAGTTAAAATGCAATACTAAACTAACCTATAAAGGTATGGAAAAGTATTGTCTTTTTGTTGGACTCAGTATTAGTTCCCTTATAGTGTCACAACCCATTTTCAGTGCAGGCAATTTCAGAACAAACAAAAGAAGAAATTAAAATTGAGCTAAGAATAACATCAAAGGGGGGAGGAACAGACATGTAATCATTTTTTTTTCAAATCTAGGCGAGTAAATTCAGGATTTTGTAGTTTCTGGTGTAGAATATTTGTTAAGCATCCAGAAAGCCTTACAAATATAAATTTCAATCTTCTAGGAAAATGTTTGATAATTCTGAAGTATTAAAATTAGTATGTGAAATAAAATGATCAAATCATTAGGTTTCATCATCATCCTTAAAAGAAATACATGTTTCTAAGTTAAATCTAAAGGACAAGAGGGAGGAGTGAGGAAGGTGGAGGGGAGGAAGAAGAAGAAGAGGAGGAGGAGAAGGAGGAGGAGGAGGGAAATAAGGAGAAGAGACTATGCCCTTTCTCTGCAAACCAGGCTTTTCACGATTCATTAAACCTTTTTTCTATATGTGTAATTGGACTCTTCTCATTTACATAAACGAAGGATGAGGCAAAAGACCTAAGACCAGCTCCCCAAAGGAGACATGCTTCTCATTCTCCAACATATGTATATGTATATATGTATATTTATTATATGTATGTTATATGTATATTATATGTATATTATATGTGTATTATATGTATATTATATGTGTATTACATGTATATTATATGTATATGTATGTATTGTAGAAATAAACCCCAGGAATGCAGAATTCTCTATACCTCCAGTTCTCACCAAACTTAAAATATTTCTTCTTGTCTGGAGAATCAGCCACAGACCTACTCAGGGTGCCTTACAGCTATTATCAGAGGCACATGTTTTGATTTTATTTTTTTTTTCTAAGTGAAAAGCTTGCACCATAACCCACCCAACCCCCCTCCCCCCTCACCCGCCTCTCTCCCATTTCTGATTGGGTTAAAAACCAAGAAGAAAGAGTGCAGTGTTTTTTAAAGACTGCAACCCTCTGCTTGGGCTTGAGTTGTCTGGCTGGTATCCTCCATTCACTTGGTTTCAGCACCTGATTAATTAGTTAATTAGTACTTAGAGCTGACTAGCCCCCACTTGGCAATTTTCATGCCCTGCACGGTAAAATGTTGAATCCAACACTGAAATTTCTGTCACACACCCTAATTATTATCACCCCACTACTTTTAAAGCCATTGCACCAAATTGTTATAGAAAGAGTTAGACAACTCTGTGGGAATATATTCTCTCTGAGAATTCAGGATAGACTTAATATTTTTCACTGTTGTCCTGACACACTTAAATAAAAGAATTAAATGGAAAAAATCTAATTCAATTAGCCTTCAACTCTTTCCACTGGGGGAAAATGATTTTATATAGGAGAGATGTTAGAAGAATCACATCAAAATGTTAATAATGTTTCATCAGTTTCCAGACGCCAAAGAGCATGCTTATAGGGCATATCTATCTGACATTGTATTTCATCCTAGATAAATGTCAAAGAATAAAACAATGATACAAAACAAAGAGATCATTTTTGCTAACTGTAAGAAAATGGTACTAACTATGTGAGTGTGAGGTTAATGTTTAAAATTTTTACATAGTTTAGGAATGAGTTTTCTATGGGGGAAAAACATTCTTTGGCCACTGCCCCATCCTTCCATAACTTTGATGTCATGGGCAAGGTTAAATAGCAACTAGAGAAAAATAGCTTTTGAAAACACTTAGGTTTTAGGTTTTTGAACCTAAAAGACCCTAATTTTTGACACTTCATAATGTACCATTACTAAAAGGGGATTGGTATATAAATGGTTTCCAATATTATTTGTGGCCATTTTTACCTGGTAATAATCCTTATATATCAGTACAGTGGGTTGCCTACAATTGTACGAGCTCAATGGTACACAAAACTGGATACACAACCTCACAGACCAGTAAATGGGTTGGACTGAAAGCAAAAGTAAACACCAACCTTAGGAAATGAAAGAAGTTAAAAGATAAGTGTTAAGGACCTTATTCTTTTTGGAGAATAAAACAAGATTTAGTAGCTTTCCACTTAATTTAAATGAAAAGAATCACTACCTTACATATTGCAGTGATAATGTAATGGGGAAAGAAAACAAAAAAGTCTTTGTACAAATGACACCTCCTATAGTTGTTGTGAAGAAACTTTTCCCCTTGGTATCTGCTAACAAATTCTAATTAATGCTGCACATTCCTTTACTGAAATCATTTAATGCGGAACAAGGGGGGTAAAAAGAAATGCTGAATGCTCGTGATTGCCCTGTTAGAATTATGGGAGTGAAAGCCTGGGGCCCCAAACTTACTGTCTATTAAAGCCAAGCTTTGAAAAAGAAATGCAACCTACAAAAGCTGTCAATCTCCCTTGCCCCTAAAGCCTGGGTTCACATGGATTCAAGTGACAGCCCTCCTCCCCCATGCACAATACATCAATCTGTCTCTCCCACAAGCACCCACAGCCCATTGTGCTAGCCGCAGGTGCCTATTATGGCACCCATGGCTGCCTCCCACAGCTCCGCCCCTGAGAAACAGGAACTGCAGACAATGGAGCCCTGTGGGAAGACAGAGGTGGGTGTTGGGAGGGATAACAGACAGATGGTAAAGGGTATAGGGTAGTAAGGTAGTTTCAAAACAAATGTCAAAGATTCAAAATTATTGCTTTCATGTGCCTCCACCCCCCATTTTGAATTGCCTTTGCTTTAGTTTCCATCTGCCTTACTACGAAGACATACATGTACCTGTGAGGATGAATATTTGATACCCTTTATGGAAAGTAGTAGAGAGGATAGATGACCTTCAGTGCTCTACTGTTTGTATTTACTTTCTGGGTTTCTCAAAGGTCAAAGACTGAAAGTTTTAGTTCAGGAAAAATATTAAACTGTATGCAGAGAGATATGAATAATTCTATTTTTTTTACAAAGTTTGTCATTTCTTTTCTATCTTAGTTTGAGATTCTGTAAATAGGTAAGAAATATAGCAAGCAGTTACTTTGGGTAATATAGTTTTTGAAATCAAAACACCATGAAACATCTTTCAAATTCTGTATAAAGTAAATATAAAATATTTAGGTTAGTTATTTTCTGATAAGGACATAGAAAAAGGGAGATGGAGTAGATTCTGCCTCATTTCCTGTTTCTAGACATGTTAAAATTTGAACAAAATTACAAGAATTCTATTCATATCACATACCATTATTTTTTAAAATGTACCCTGTAGACAAAATATTTTCTAAAATATTACTTGTATAGTACTTTTAGCTTCTTTGAGGTAAACTGAAAAATTAAGACTTATGCCAAAACACATACACAAATTCATCTAGACACTTTGATTTACTTGTTTTGCCCTTACATGATCATCTCACTATAAAATTGATTCGTATTCTTGTGATTATTTGTCATAAATGAAAGCCAAATTAAGAAAAAATACCACTGGTATTACTGTCTCAAGCAAAAGTGAGCAAAAAAAAAAAAAGTTGGCACAACTGTTAAGTCATGGTAAAGACAATTGGTGACTTGTTGGGATGAGGATATCCACAGAATAATGCCAGGGATGAAAACCAGCCAGTTTTACTGAAGCAGACAAGAGGGTCTTGGTTTGCCGTCAAAAACCACAAACTGGGCTTTAACTAGGAACTGTCAGAGATCCAAGTGAGCTCCTGGCCAAGGAAAGCTTAATTAGCAGAATTGGTTTGA